GGCAATTCTCCTGCCTCAGCCTCCTGAGTAGCTGGGATTACAGGCACGTGCCACCATGCCCAGCTAATTTTTTGTATTTTTAGTAGAGACGGGGTTTCACCATGTTGACCAGGATAGTCTCGATCTACTGACCTCGTGATCCACCCGCCTCAGCCTCCCAAAGTACTGGGATTACAGGCTTGAGCCACCGCGCCCGGCCCATCTTTCTTTCTTTTTTTTAAGAGATGAGGTCTTGCCATGTTGCCTAGGCTGGAGTGCAGTGGCTACTCACAGCTGCAGTCCCACTACTGATCAGCATGGGAGTTTTGACCTGCTCTGTCTCTGACCTGGGCTGGTTCACCCCTCCTTAGGGAACCTTGAGGTCCCCTGCTCCCAAGATGTCACCATATTGATGCCGAACTTAGTGCAAACACCCAATTGGCATAGTGCGCTATAGCCCAGAACTCCTGGGCTCAAGCAATCCTCCCACCTCAGCCTCCCGAATAGCTAGGACTACAGGCACGTGCCACTGCTCCCGGCAATAGTGGGCTATTGCAATAATCCAGGTAAGGGATGCCAGTGGTCTGGAGATGGTGAGAAGAGGTTAGACAAGGGATATATTTTAAGACAGAGCCTAGAGGCATTTGCTGAGAGAGGAAGAGAAATCAAGAACAACTCCAAGGCACTGAGCCCGATCAGTGGGTAGAATGAAGGTGCTATTTACTGAGATTGGGCAGACTCAGGCAGGAGATGAGGACATCAAGGGTTCAGTGCTGGACAAGGTGAGTTTGAGGCACCTATTCGACAAACACTTGGTCTAGAAATCTGGAATCAGGTGAAATCTGAGCTGGGGATAAACACACTGTAGTGTTAAGAATACAAGTATTTAGAGCCTTGGAATACATGAGATCACCAGGCAGTGACTTTCACCAGTGGGGCAGCAGGTTATGTATGGGAGTGTTTCTAGCTGCCTGATGGCTGGGGTAGGAGGGTACGTCCCTGGCATTAAATGGCAGGAAACAGAGATGCTAAATGTCCTGCAATACATGGGATGGTTTCTCATCATGAGTTATTATTATACCAAATGACACTAGGCTCAAAATTCCAACTAGTGCCCTCGTTGAGAAACACTAACCTAGAGAGCACGAGTGGAAAGGACACAAGCCTGAAGGCTGTGCTGGAGCTCGCCAAGCTCAGACATCAGGCAGATGAGCAGGAACAGCCAGGGCAGTGGGAGGTAGAAAGCGACTTCAAAGCCAAATAATTTCTGAAATAGCAATTGTTAGGAACTATTTGTGCCCTTTTCATCCATTAACATGGGAAAAATCAATAGTGTTTGTTCAGTTGGCTCACAAACAAAGGCTATTAATTATTGACTACGAATACGAGAATGTGCTATAGACCTGCATTACAAGATCTAAAATATATGCTGGCTGGCCACGGTGGCTCACAACTATAATCCCAGCATTTGGGGAGGATGAGGTGGGAGGACTGCTTGAAGCCAGGAGGTTGTAGGCTGTAGTGAGCTATGATCTGCCATTGCACTCCAGCCTGCGACAGAGCAAGACTGTTTTTCTTTTGTTTAGAGATGAGTCTTGCTCTGTTGCCCAGGCTGGGATGCAATGGCATGATCTCAGCTCACTGCAACCTCCGCCTCCCAGGTTCAAGTGATTCTCCTGCCTTGGCCTCCCAAGTAGCTGGGATTACAGGCGCATGCCACCACACCCAGCTAATTTTTGTATTTTTAGTAGACACTGGGTTTTGCCATGTTGGACAGGCTGGTCTCGAACTCCTGACCTTAGGTGATCTGCCTGCCTCGGCCTCCCAAAGTGCTGAGATTGCAGGCATGAGCCACTGTGCCTGGCCAAGACTCTGTTTCTATTAAAAAATGATAGAAAAAAATTTGCCACTACACCCGGCCAATTTTTTCTATTTTTAGTAGAGATGGGGTTTCACCATGCTGGCCAGGCTGGTCTGGAACTCCTGACCTTGTGATCCACCCACCTCGGCCTCCCAAGGTGCTGGGAGTAGAGGCGTGAGCCACTGCACCCAGCCTTAATATTTATTTTTAAAGGAAGGAACGCTTTATGAATTTGCATGTCATCCTCAAGCAGGGGCCATGGTAATCTTCTCTATTGTTCCAATGTTAGTATACGTGCTGCTGAAGCAAGCATGTGAGACCTTATCTCTACAAAAAAAAAAAATAAATAAAAAATAATTAGCCACGCATGGTGGTGCATGCTTGTAGCTCCAGCTATTTGGGAGGCTGAGGCAGGAGGATTACCTGAGCCCAGGAAGTTAAGGTTGTGGTGTGCTATGATTCTGCTACTGAACTCCGGCCTAGGCAATAGATCGAGACTCTGTCTCTGTTTTTTAATAATAATATAAAACAAATAAGTAAATAAAATATAAGCTGGGTACACCAAGCACTGTGAATGGCATAAAGTGGGTATTACATAAGAAAGGAGAAAGTGAGAATTTTCAGCTATGCTGATTGGCGAACACCAACCTGAGGGAGTATTTAGGACCTTACTCAGAGAATGGGTAGAACCTTAATACATAAAAAGAAAAGCAGGTATATATGGCAACTAAACATTGGTACAGATGGACAGAGATGGGAACAGCAGACAGTGGGGACCACACCAGAGGGGAGGGAGGTGGGGCAAGGGTTGAGAAACTACTGATTAGGTATTATGCTCACTCTCTAGGAGACAGGTTGAATCATAAAACCTCAGCATACATGATATACCCACGTAACAAATCTGCCCATGTACCCCATCCCCTGAATCTAAAATAAAAGTTAAAATTGAAAAAGAAGAAAAAAAGGCTGGGCACCGTGGTTCATGCCTGTAATCCTAGCACTTTGGGAGGCCAAGGCGGGTAGATCACCTGAGGTCAGGAGTTCAAGAACAGCCTGGCCAACATGGTGAAACCCCATCTCTACTAAAAATGCAAAAACGAGCTGGGTGTGGTGGCACGCACCCATAATCCCAGCTACTTGGGAGGCTGAGGGGGGAGAGTTGTTTGAAACGGAAAAGCGGAGGTTGCAGTGAGCTGAGATTGCACCACTGCACTCCTGCCTGGGCAACCAGAGTGAAACGCTGGCTCAAAAAAAGAAAAAGCAGTCCTTCCCACTTTGACATGAGAATTATGGAAATCAGTTCTGATTCTGAGTTTGACAATACCAGGAACAGAATCAATAAACCTAAACCAATCTAAGAAGTCACCAGCAACTGTAAAGGGCCTCATAAGCAACCAAGGAAGTATCTCAGTGGCTGCCACGCACGTTAGGAAGGAGCAGTGCACTGGCATTGGCACAGCACGTGTTTACCATGGAACCTGGCAAGCCAGGCTTCTTTTCTATTAATCACTGAATATAAGAACCAAGATCAACTGAAAGGAAAAAACCCACCCCACCAGGATCCTGAGTGAGTCACACAATTGCCTAGAGAAGCCCATAAGAACAAATCTTGTCCAGCAGACATAATTCTAGAGATTTCTTTCCTAATTATGTTCATGAATCTTAATATATTCAGACAATAAAAGCTCTTCTCCAAAAAAGCCCTTTAAAATTAAAAAGGCAGAGAAAGTTTTCAGCGTACATTTTCAAAGACTTCTCAACTCATTTCTTAGCTTCAGATAAAAGTCTTCCAGATTTTTCCTATTCCAACCTTGCAATATAATTTCATGGAAGGAAAATCACAGCAAGTCAGATTGCGTATCATCAGACCCACAAATGCAGCCCCAAAGCAGCTCTGCCTATGTCCAGCGGCAGAGGCCCTGCAAAGCTGTCCATGCATCTGGACCACGTCCTCACCCGGGGCAACTGGTCCCACTGTTCTTTGTTCTTCATCTCTTCCTGCACCTCATGGATTCGCTTCAGAGACTCCAGACTTTCATCGAGCAAAAATGTCGTGTCGTTTATCAACATGTTTATATAGCGAACAAACTGCTTCCCGGAACTGGAAAGGCAATTATATTGTACATGGTCATACATCTCCCTGAAGCAGAATGCCACAGCAAATCCCAGGGGACAAGAGCCTCCACCCAGAGTGCAACTATCTCACCCTAAAAGCCTGCCTCCCCTGGCACAAGTCAGGCACTGTGGAATTCGACTACCAAGCTTCTCTTTAGATTTTGTTAATCTCGTTTCTTTTTGAGACAGGGTCTCACTCTGTCGCCCAGCCTGGAGTGCAGTGCACAATCACAGCTCACTGTATCCTGAATCTCCAGGGCTCGAGCAGCCTTCCTGCCTCAGCCTCCTAGTAGCTGGAACTACAGGCACATGCCACCACGCCCGGCTAACTTTTATATTTTTTGTAGAGACAGGCACTTATGTTGCCAGGGCTGGTCTCAAACTCCTGGGCTCAAGTGCTCCTCCCACCTCAGCCTCCCAAACTGTTGGGATTACAGTCATGAGCTACCACACCTGGCCTAGATTTTGTTATTCTTTTAAATTGTTTGTGATAAGCTCATTTCTGTGGTGTTTTGGTGCCACCTTGCATGGTTTATGACAGTCAAGTGCTAAATATTTCAGAATTTTATAAGCAGATTCCCCTGGCACCTTAAATTGGGCAACAGAGCAAAGAGTCACACCATGGAAAACCAGCAAATACTGACTCCCCCACCCCCCTTCCCAAAGCAGGCTTACCAGCACACCCCTGGCTCACTCCCTCAATGTTTTTAAGGAGAGAAAACACTTCTTCCAGACTAGAACAGGAAATACGCATATACTCACCAATATACCAAGAAAACACAAGTAATCAACCACATATAAGAAAACTACTGACAAAGTTATTCCTTATTACAAAGACAGACACACTGAAGAAAAATTGGAACCTGTATTATTGATAAAGTGGGATATTAACTTACTTTAGAATCTGCATCTTCCAATCTAAGGAACTATTCTGCAGGTCGTGTTATCGTGAGAGAACTTGGTGAACTCAAATAGCTTGGCCTACCTCTGTTAGACTCTGGAGCTGCCAGATTGTAGAGAAAAGAGAAGCTACACTTCAGGGTCTACAACCACGTCACTAGGGGTGGCAAACCCATGCCTGGGGGAGAGAAGTTCCCGTGAACAAGGACAGGAGGCCTTGATCTCAGGAACATGGCAGGTTCAGGACAAGCGCTCTCATCAGCACCATTCAGACCAAGCCATGGGTCAGCCTGGTGTCCTAAGCCTGTGCCAGGCTTTAACTGGAACACAAGTTCTGACCATGAGAGCAGTTTACGGAAACAAAAAATTAAAGAGTTTATTTAGGCTGGACACGGTGGCTCATGCCTGTAATCCCAGCACTTCGAGAGGTCGAGGCAGGTGGATCACGAGGTCAGGAGTTCAAGACCAGCCTGGCCAAGATGGTAAAACCCCGTCTCTACTAAAAACTACAAAAAATAGCTGAGCACGGTGCAGGCACCTGTAATCCCAGCTACTTAGGAGGCTGAGGCAGGAGAAATGCTTGAACCCAGGCGGCAGAGGTTTCAAAGAGCCAAGATTGTGCCACTGCACTTCAGCCTGGGCAACAGAGTAAGACTCCGTCTCAAAAAAAAAAGAAGTTTACTCCACAGAACTCTATCTAGCAAATAGTTATTCCACTGGCAATGTACATTATTGACTAGTAATTCAGTTAACAAGTATAGCTAGATTTGATCAAAGATCTAACATGGGTTGCAAAAGATCCAAGTAGATGGGATAAAATTTTATTTTTATTTTTTATAATTTTATATGGAACGCTTCACGAATTTGTGTGTCATCCTTGCGCAAGGGCCATGCTAATCTTCTCTGTATTGTTCCAATTTTAGCATATGTGCTGCCGAAGCGAGCACGGGATAAAATTTTTGAAGCATAATTTAAGAGTTCAGCATCTTCATCTACCTTTCGTTTTTAGGCACTGACAGATAATTGAGAAGGGATTACTACTGTCCAGGTTTAAGCAGTCACTCAGATTTCTGGTAGGTATATGCAAAGTCTTTAAGTTTTAGGGCCTTACCACAAAGAATGACACTTTAAATGATAACCCTGACCTCATTGTTGTAAAATCTAAAGTCCTTCCAACATTCAAGAACACTAAGATTGGCTGGGTGCAGTGGCTCATGCCTGTAATCTCAGCATTTTGGGAGGCTGAGGCAGGTGGATCACCTAAGGTCAGGAGTTCAAGACCAGCCTGACCAATATGGTGAAACCCCATCTCTATAAAAAAAAAAAAAAAAAAAGAACACTAAGATTTCGTTTAACTCATTCTGACAACTTCATTTAACACTGTAATCACAGAAACACCAAAAAACACTTAGCCCATCATCTCAGCATATTTATAGAATCTTTTCTCTTCCTTTTTTTTGAGACAAGAGTCTTGCTCTGTCGCCCAGGCTGGAGTGCAGTGGCACAATCTTGGCTCACTGCAACCTCTGCCTCCCGGGTTCAAGCAGTTCTCCTGCCTCACCTTCCCAAGTAGCCGGGATAACAGGCGTGAGCCACCACACTCGGCTAATGTTTTGTATTTTTAGTAGAGACAGAGTTTCACCATGTTGGCCAGGCTGATCTTGTACTCCTAACCTCAAGTGATCCGCCCGCCTAGGCCTCCCAAAGTGCTGGGATTGCCAGGCATGAGCCACCACGCCCCACCCTACAGCATCTTTTCTTCTGTACCACCCCCAAAGTATCTTGACAAATCTAAAGTTCAGCAGCATCTTGCAAGTAAAGCCATTTAAAAAATCCTGCCCGCATTTAGTGGCACCTTGTGGTAAACTCAAAGGAGTCAGAGACCAAGCAAACAGTCAACAAGAACCCAGCTGTGAAAGCTTTTAAGCTGCAATCCTACCTGTGATTTGCAAGAAAGCAAGTTGTGACATTAGGGGCCCCATACTCACTTGAACTCCTCCATAAAGGTGCCATGGTGAGCTATGTTTTGCCAAAGGCTTTTAAAAATGGTGCTAATGTGATAGCGAATTGTGAACTTGTCATAAAACTCGCTGGTGGCTCCGGTATGCTCAACATCTAAAGAAGAAAGACAAAGGGACTGAGGGGTATGTACTTTCTTACTTTCCAAATCCAGTTATTGCCCCCACAATGATAGTGAGTGAATGTAAACCTGCAAAATCAGAGAGCTGGTGAAATTTTGCACCTTTCTTGCATGTAAGGCAGGACAGAAATTATGAGCTGCTTTCAAAGACAAAAGTTTCACAATGAAGATTTGACAATGACACAACACGGAAAGGAACAGGGCTAGGAAAACTCACATCATTAGGACAGCATCCACTTACCAATGACCAAAAGCTGAATTATCATACTCTCTCCCCAATTTTAAGTTATTAATTTACAGAAATTCTATGGCACCTCAAATGGACATCCTTCACCAGATAAAAAATTAGGTTTAATTTTATTGAGGATCACGTACCTATTAAATGTGTCTATCCTAGTGACCATTTTTGGTGTTGAAAAAAAAACAATGTGTCTATCACCCCTATACCTATAAAGAGGGAAAAAAAAATCAAACTTGTTTGTCCAAATGGCAAAAGCTTAGGCATGAGAAATTTCAGAATTCATGACAAATTTTATTTATTTTATTTTTTTGATACGGAGTCTTGTTGTGTCACCCAGGCTGGAGTGCAATGGAGTAATCCCGGCTCACTGCAACCTCTGTCTCCCAGGTTCAAGCGATTCTCTTGCCTCGGCCTCTGGAGTAGCTGGGATTATAGTGCCACCATGCCCAGATAATTTTTTGTATTTTTAGTAGAGATGGGGTTTCACTGTGTTAGCCAGGGTAGTCTTGATCTCCTGACCTTGTGATACACCCACCTTGGCCTCCCAAAGTGCTGGGATTACAGGTGTGAGCCACCATGCCTGGCCTAATTTATTTTATTTTATTTTTTTGGAGACAGGGTCTTGCTCTGTCACCCAAGCTGAAGTACAGTGATATGATAATGGCTCACTGCAGCCTCAACCTCTTGGGCTCAAGTGATCCTCCCACCTCAGCCCCCAAGTAGCTGGGACTAGAGATGCATCCACCACGCCTGGCTTATTTTTTATGGCTGGCTCACACCTGTAATCCTAGCACTTTGGGAGGCCGAGACAGGCAGATCACTTGAGGCCAGGAGTTCAAAACCAGCCTGGACAACATAGCAAAACCCTGTCTCTACTATTAATAAAAATACCAAAACTAGCTGGGTGTGTGGTGGTGTGTGCCCATAATTCCAGCTACTTGGGAGGCTGAGGCAGGCGAATCACTTGAACTCAGATGCAGAGGCTGCAGTGAGCCAAGATCACGTCACTGCACTTCAGCCTGGGTGGGTGACAGAGCAAGACTCTGTCTGAAAAAAAAAAAAAAAAAAAATTTTTTTTTTTTTACAGATGGGGGTCTCACTATGTTGCCCAGGCTGGTTTCAAATTCCTGGCCTCAAGTGACCCTCCCACCCCGGCCCTCCAAAGTACTGAGATTACAGGTGTGAGCCACTACACTTGGCCTTTGATATTTTCTTTTTTTTCCAAAGAACACATTTTTGTGCATGTGACCAAAAAAGAAAACAGCTATTTAAAAATTAAAGAATAAGATAATTAACACCTATGATACTAAGATCTGAATGCACTTATGTGTATTCATTAAGTCAACCTTTCTTTAGGATGAACTAAATGTCATTTATTAAGTGTGTAAATGCATGAGCTGAAGTGTGGAGTGCTGATGAAGGTAAGCCTTCAGGAGGAAGATACTGGAGGACCAATCTAACACTGCATACAATCTAAAACAGCCCCTGATATCTGCCCCAAATTCTGAATATAGTAGAGACTAAGTAAATACTATTAATTTATTATGTAACATTACATATCTCAGCAGGGCCCTGCATGTGTATTCCCAGCACTTTGGGAAGCCCAGGCGGGCAGATCACTTGAGCTCAGGAGTCTGAGACCAGCTTGGTGAACATAGTGAAACCCCGTCTTTATAAAAGCCACAAAAATTAGCCAGCTGTGGTGGCATACACCTGTAGTCCCAGCTACTTGGGAGGCTGAGACAGGAGGATCACTTGAGCCCAGGAGGTCAAGCGTGTATGGAGTTGTGATTGTGCCACTGTATTCTAGCCTGCAGAGCAAGATCCTATCTCAAAAAAAAAAAAAGAAAAGAAAAGAAAACGAAACAATATACATCTCTCAACATTAAAAAAAATTATTATTCACTTCTACTGTTCCCTCAAAATCATACCAGCTCAAGTTCTCATTCCCAGGTCCTTGTTCTAGAAGGCCTTAAGTGGACTGGACTTGTGCTAAACCTCTTCCTCCTCCCCAGGATTCCTGCTGCCTTCTTTCTTGATTCATCGGCTGACCAGACCTCAAGGTATTTATACTTACTGCCCCATGTGCTGCCACGCTATGGCTGAGACCCTCTTATGGCTCATGGTTGTTATATTTTCAACATCACTCCAAAGTCCTCTCCTCTGAGACCTTCCCTGACCATCCTTCTGAAAGGAGTCCTATGCCTCCTTCCCACACTCACTCTCAAAATCTCTCTCTTTTTTCTTGAGACAGGGTCTTGCTCTGTCACCCAGGTTGGAGTGCAATGGCTCAAACATCGCTCATTGCACTCTCAGCCTCCTGGGCTCAAGCGATCCTCCCGTCTCAGATTCCTAAAGTGCTGGGATTACAGGCATGAGCCACTGCCCTGACCACAACATCTATTTGTACAGAGTCTGTCTCCCAACTGGAATGCCTGACACATGATGGCAAAGATTTGATATCTTTGCCCAATATTTGCTGAATTAGAGATCGAATTTACTTTGCCTTGCTGATGCTGATTCAGATCAGTTTTGGGGAAGATAATAATTTTTTTTTTTTGAGACGGAGTTTCGCTCTTGTTGCCCAGGCTGGAGTGCAATGGCAAAATCTCGGCTCACTGCAACCTCTGTCTACAGGGTTCAGGTGAGTCTCCTGCCTCAAGCTGTGCTACAATGCCTGGGGAATTTTGTATTTTTTTTAAGTAGTTATGGAGTTTTTCCATGTTGGTCAGGCTGGTCTCGAACTCCCGACCTACAGTATCCGCCCGCCTGGGCCTCTCAAAGTGCTGGGATTACAGGTGTGGGCCACTGCACCTGGCTAAGAATAATCCTAAAGTAAATCTTGATTATCAGTATCATTCTAGTTCTGAGAGCTGTTCCTTAAGGAACTGACTGATGTAAAAAATCACAAAAATAAAACTCTTATTTTAAAATTTAATTGATTTTTGTACTTTTTATTTTCCGAGATTGCATCTTGCTGTTGCCCAGGCTGGAGGGCAGTGGTACAATCTCAGTTCACTGCAACCTCCACCTCCTGGGCTACAGCAATCCCCCCATCTCAGCCTCCCAAGTAGCTGGGACTACAGGTGCATGCCACCATGCCTGGCTGATTTTTACTTTTTTAGTGGAAATGAGGTCTCACCATGTTACCCAGGTTGGCCAAAATTTCCTGAGCTCAAGTGATCGGCCCACCTTGGCCTCCCAAAGTGTTGGAATTACAGGCATGGGCTACCGCGCTTGGCCAACTTAATTGATTCTTTTTTTTTTTTTTTTTTTTTGAGACAGATACTCTCTGTTACCCAGGCTGGACAGCAGTGGTGCCATCACAGCTCACTGCAACATCTGCCTCCTGGGTTCAAGTGATTCTCCTGCCTCAGCCTCCAAAGTAGCTGGGATTACAGGCATGCACCATCACACCTGGCTAATTTTTATATTTTTCGTAGAGATGGAGTTTTGCCATGTTGGCCAGCTTGGTCTTGAACTCCTGACCTCAGGTGATCCACCCACCTTGGCATCCTAAAGTGTAATTACAGAGCACTCTCTCTCTCTCCCCCTGCCCTCTCTTTCTTTCTGTTTAAGACAGTCTCACTCTGTTGCCCAGGCTGGAGTCAGTGGCAATCATGGCTCACTGTAGCCTCAAACTCCAAGGCTCAAGTAGCCTCCTGGGGAGCGCGGACTACAGGTATGGACCACCACATCCAGCTACCATTATTATTATTATTATTATTTGAGATGAATTCTGACTCTGTTGCCAACGCTGGAGTGCAGTGGCATGATCTTAGCCACCATACCCCAGCTAATTTTTGTATTTTTAGTAGAGGCGGGGTTTTACCATGTTGGCCAGGATGTTCTCGATCTCCTGACCTTGTGATCTGCCCACCTGGGCCTCCCAAAGTGCTGAGATTACAGGTGTGAGCCATACGCCTGGCGAATTTGAGCATTTTCTAAGCTAGAATATTATCTCTGTGGTGTAAGAGGAGATTGTTCCACATACTGATCTTGGGTGTGGCAACTCTAATTTTTTTTTTTTTTTTTTT